CCATTGACGCAACAAGAAAAGACGTTCTCATCGCAACGCATGAAAATATTACATCAAGATTGGAGCAGATCAGAGCACTGGATGAAGAAATTCTCAAAAGAGCCGATGAAACAGAGTTCGACGGTCTATTTCTTGATGCAGACAACTACGTCATTGATATCAAAGAAAGAATCGTGGAGATAAGGAACTTCATCCAAAGCGCCAATACACCAACAACGCCAACAACACAGACATCATATGAAATGTTAAGCACGTTGTTCACAAGTAACAACTCAGCGTCCAGAAGACGAACTGTAAATCTACCTGAACTAGATCTCGAAAAATTTTCAGGTGATATTCTTTCTTGGCAAAGTTTTATTGACACGTTTGAAGCGGCTATAGACAAGGACGACATGCTGGATGAGGTAAATAAGTTTCAATACCTATGAGCACATGTAAAGGGAGAAGCGGCTAAAGTAATCGAGGGATTACAACTGACAAACGAGAACTACAAACACGCCTTAGAATTACTAAAACAACGTTACGGACTGAAATATAAAATACGAAATGCATATATGAAAGCACTTTGGGAATTGCCAAAACCGTCTAATGACTTATCCTCACTAAAGTTTTTTCTACGACAACATGGAGAGTTACAGAAGAGGCTTAGAAGCGCTTGGAAAGAGCGAAGACTCGTACAGAGATTTCCTCATACCTATCAATTCTATTATTCGCTTATATTTCTTATGTTTTATTCGATTTTCTAGTGATTTGTTCGTTACTACAATGCATATACATGTAGTATTTTATTTCTGCCGCCGGGAGTAATGTGGAGACTGTTAGTCTGACCTAATTAGACACCCACTGCTGTTGCCACACCCACAGTTATTTCAACCAATCACATCCCGGTGTTATTATTAGTAGTTTGTTTGTTGTTTCATTGTAACTTACATGTAATCGAGTGAAGTGAATAAAGAGTTGAGTTATTGTTACCGCACGGTGAACTTGTCTTCTCGATCTCTCTCCGGGTTTCTACCCACAACCGACTCAACTCACGTGCCCTTGCGCACATTTGGTGCCGAGACCAGGATCAACGTACTTTGGAGGAAATTCTACAACGCATAGAAACATGGCAGAACGAGTTAAACATTCTGCAAGTAGAAGAGGACACCGTGCTCAAATGACGAGACAGTTACAAAAAGCCACTGACATCATGTCCAAAGATGACCCATTGACGCAACATGAAAAAGACGTTCTCATCGCAACGCATGAAGATATTACATCAAGATTGGAGCAGATCAGAGCATTGGATGAAGAAATTCTCAAAAGAGCCGACGAAACAGAGTTCGACAATCTATTTCTTGATGCAGACAACTACGTCATTGATATCAAAGAAAGAATCGTGGAGATAAGGAACTTCATCCAACGCGCCGATACACCAACAACGCCAACAACACAGACATCATCTGAAATGTCAAGCACGTCGTTCACAAGTAACAACTCAGCGTCCAGAAGACGAACTGTAAATCTACCTAAACTAGATCTCGAAGAATTTTCAGGTGATATTCTTTCTTGGCAAAGTTTTATCGACACGTTTGAAGCAGCTATAGACAAGGACGACATGTTGGATGAGGTAAATAAATTTCAATACCTACGAGCACATGTAAAGGGAGAAGCGGCTAAAGTAATCGAGGGATTACAACTGACAAACGAGAACTACAAACACGCCTTAGAATTACTAAAACGACGTTACGGACTGAAACATAAAATACGAAATGCATATATGAAAGCACTTTGGGAATTGCCAAAACCGTCTAATGACTTATCCTCACTAAAGTTTTTCTACGACAACATGGAGAGTTACAGAAGAGGCTTAGAAGCACTTGGGAAGAGCGAAGACTCGTACGGAGATTTCCTCATACCTATCATCCTAGAAAAACTTCCAGGAAATTTCCGTCGAATCATCACTCGCGACCATGGAACCGACGATTGGTCATTTAAAAATCTACGTGAATCTGTGTGTAAGGAGATCGAAGCAATGGAGGCTGGCAAAATCTCTAACAATTCCGTATCGTCTTTCGCCTACAACGAATCGCCTATGCGTAATGTACAGTTCTCTGCTCAAGCACTTCACACCAACACAAAAACTCGCAAACCAGATTGTGTTTTCTGCAGTAATTCACATCGTCCCTTCGATTGCACGAACGTAACCGACCATATGCAACGCTTCGAGATCATCAAAACGAAAGGACTATGTTTTAATTGTTTAAGCAAAGGACACTCTTCGCGATCTTGTCAATCTGTCTTTAAATGTCGGAAATGCGACAGCAAACACCACACTACGATTCATCATGCGTTCAAACAATCGCCAAAACTATCGAAACCAGACACTTCAAGCAATACCAACAGCCAGAAAATCCACGCTAATTCTGTGTCAACCGACCTTCAATCAACTAGCGGCAACGTACTTCTCAAAACGGCGATTACTCAAGTCTACTCGGATAAAGCATCGGCCGACGCAACAATCCTATTTGACGAAGGAGCTACAAGATCGTTTATCTCTGAGAAATTAGCCGAACATTTACACCTGACGCCAGACGGACAAACATCGGTCCAAATCTCCACCTTTGGCAATAAGAAATCTGCGCCGAAAAGGCTCAATTACGTAACGTTGACGGTAAAAACAACATGGGGGCCCGATATATCAATATCTACGTTAATTGTTCCTGAAATCTGCAATCCAATTAACAATCATATTTGTCCAGCTGTACTGAATTTACCGCACATCAAAGGACTCCAGCTAGCGCATCCTGCTGTAAACCATAAATATTTGAACATATCTCTTTTGATTGGTGCCGATCATTATTGGTCATTCGTGGGCGACAAAACCATCAAAGGCAACGGGCCGACCGCTGTTTCATCTCGTTTGGGTTACCTACTCTCTGGACCAACGTCACGTGATGCGTCATTCCCAACTGACGTCACCAGCTTTCACGTGAACGCATATTCACCAACTGACGATCCCGTAACTAAACTCTGGGATTTTGACACCATTGGCATTCGTGAACCTGCCAACACGGACTCTACTGATGACAAGGCAGACGAATTCGAAACGTTTTGCGAACAGAATATCGAACAACGCGACAAACAATACTTTGCCCGACTTCCCTGGAAAGAAAATCACCCGGTATTACCAACAAATAGGCGGATCGTCGAAAAACGAACACGTCATATGGTACGTAAGCTTCCATCCGATTTACTTCCTGTTTACGACCGTATTATAAAGGAGCAAGAACACCGTGGGTTTATTGAACGACTGGACTCCGATAATCCGAATCAAGGGCACTACCTTCCTCACCATGCCGTCAAAAAGGACTCCCCCACTACACCAATTAGGATTGTCTATGATTGCAGCTGCAATACTTGTCAAACTCCGAGTCTTAACGACTGTCTCGATAAGGGTCCCATGTTACTTAATGATTTAGCAGGTATATTGCTAAGATTCCGTACGCATCCGATAGCCTTGGTCAGTGATTTGGAGAAAGCATTTTTACACGTGGCTCTTCATGAAGAGGACAGAGAATTTACAAAGTTTCTATGGCTTTCGGATCCGACCGACACAGAAAGTGACTTTATTGTCTTCCGTTTCTTATCTGTTCTTTTTGGATCAGTCGCCAGCCCCGCCATTTTAAATGCTGTTATTCAAAAACACCTACAAATGTTTGACACTAACACCGCCAGGGATCTACGCGAACATATATATGTCGACAACGTTCTAAGTGGTGCAAAGAATGACGTCGATGCTATTTCGTACTACAACGACGCCAACGATTTGACTACTTCCGCTGGGTTCAATCTCCGTTCGTGGTCAACAAACAGTTCTCTATTGCAAGACATCGCTAGGAAGGACGGAGTTTTACTCGATGACGATAACCCATCATTACTT